ACATCATCAAAGTTTGCAAAAGTCAGGCAAAATTTCACATTTAAATGGAGTATGCAGTTTTATTAATCTAAAAATGATAAAAATGTTTTATGCTAAAAATTAATATACGAGCGCTTTCCGAATTGAAATTAATGCGTTTTTGGCTAAGTTATGGATTTTTTTTAATTTTTATTTGTCGAAAAAATGTTCATATTCAATTAACATTATAATAGTATAGTATGCATATTACATTTCTACTTCTTTATAGCTTAACAAAAATAAAATTTGTTCCTGACAAATATATTTCAATAAAATTTGAAAATCCTCTTTAAGTATAGACTATTATGCTTTTCCACAGTTCCGTTTTCTTCCTTATATCCCTTAGTTTTCTTTTTTATACGTTTTTCTAGTTAGCTCTATTTTACGGGTTTAAAGGCTTCCATAAAAAGGGGAGCTTGTTTTCGGGTCGCTTCCCTCTCAAATACTTTTGTTTACGACCTAATTGAGTAATATGACTCCAGTCGCTTATGTCTTTAGTTTTTTACCATTTCCTAGAAATTTACAGGGTATTAAAGCAAGCAGCAAGAGCATACAGAGAACAAAAAATGGTAGCCAGAGCGGGCAAACTGCATTCATTCCTTAATGTGAACCAGCAGCTTGTCAAGTCTTTGTTTTTCTTGTTGCCCTTTTGTTGTCAGCTTAAGCTGATAGCGCCACCACCCCATCCATGGTTCCTTAACCCAACCTTAACCGACCTCGTCCTGCCCCCTTGTGGCCACCATCGTCGTCGTCGCCGCCTCACTAAACCCATTAAAACGTCATAATCAACATAATCATAAAGATAATGCATAACAGAACACAGGGGGGGGGGGGGAAAGAATTTGTACACTGGTCAGCCATATTTTTTTTTGTGTTTTCTTTGTGCTTCTTTATATCTCCCACTTCTGCCGCCATATTCCCCTGTCTCTCGCTCATTATTATTTCGCCTATTCTGGCCACAAAAGGCGACTAAAGCCTGACCTTTGCTTAATTATGGTAATTAGCACACAAAAAAAATGCAGAAAAGAAAATGTATAAAAAAATGAGGAGACAACCAAGTCGCGCCAAAGAGGCGAAACCAAACGGATTGGAACGAAACGGAAGGGGAACGGAGTAAAGAGTGGAACGGAGACGAACGCTAAGCATGCAAAAATTTGCTGGCCAAGCACACTGAGACAATGAAGGGTAACAAATCATTAAGAGTTTCTAAATATTACATTGTTATTTTATAAAAAATTATTTTACATTTATTATTTATTTTAATCAAATAAAATTTATATAAATATATAATATATATATATTTTTGTTTTCTGAATTAGTTTTCTTTCATTTTCGTCTTTAGTTTTTCTATAAGTGCATCATCAAGAGCAGGGTGCAGCATCTGCATCTCTGCTCCCTGGACTCGCACATGGACAGGGATGATGACGTTGACAACGACAAGGATAAACCAAAGCTGCTGCCCCGATATAAATATTAAAACATAGAAAAATAAAGGAAAAAAAAACGATTCTGGATGCTGGATGGATGAGGTGGTAGTAGACAAAAAAAAAGAGAGCAGCAACCAAAGGCTGAAAGCTGAAAGCGAACCACTGAAAGTGAATTGCTTCCGCATTTTCGTTCGCTTTAAACGCCGCTCAAGTGGTGCCTCCAGCCCTCAAAAGCATGCAATAATATTATGCAATATTTGTTTCACTTTGTCCTGGCACGTATCCATTTATATATATATATATATATTTATACTTACATTTTTTTCGCCGCTGCTGCGTTTAATTTGCACATTTCATTTAATTTGCCGTGAATTTGCGGGCCATTCATTTTGTGTTTGTGCAGGATGTAGAGACACGGTGTAGAGGGTTAAGGTTCTAGAAAGAGAAAGAGAACGAGAGGATTAAGGTTGTAAAGAGAGCAAAAAAGAGAAAGAGAGAGGGTTAAGGCTGTATAGGGTAAGGGTTAAAGGGGCTTCCCGCCCGGCTAAGTGGGGACAACTTCCGGCGCTGTCAAGTTGAGGTGCGCCCTTTGTTGCGCAAATTATTACAGTCTGCAGTCTGCAAATTCGCATTTCGTTTGTTTTATTTTTCTTTCTTTATTATTATATTTTTTTCATCCTTTTTTTAATTCAGCGCCACTGCAGTTTTGCCTTAAAAATTCAGCTGCATTTTTTCAGGGACAAACTTTTTAGCAAATTAGCTCAGCGAAAGAGAAAAGATAATTGAAACGTTAAGAAGCTAGAGTTTCATTCAAGAGAAATTAAACAAAATATATAAAAAATATACAAATAGAATAGACTATTTTTAATTTAAAAATATGTGTATTTATTTCAGGAATCAGTAGATTTAAGAATAAAAATATTATATTATCAATTTTTAAAAAATTAAAAAAAAAATATTTTTCAGAAATTTCGCATTTTTGAAAAAAAAAAGGAAAGGAAACAAACAAGGAAGAGAAAATCTTAAATGGGCTTATATTAGCAAGCTTAAAATCGTTATTTTTTCAGCGGGTTTATGTTTGAAGAATTCCTTTTGCAAAAATTATATACAAGCCATTACTTTAAATACTTTAACTTTCTATGCATACCAATTCTTCAAAATTTGCTTTAGAAATATAGATCAACTAATTTTAATACATATTTTATATTGAGCAGTTTCGATCATCACCATTGTTTCGTTCTTCGTTCAGTAAGTTGTTGTCTTGAATAAACTACTTTCGGGAGTTAAGTATACTTTACTATAAACAAATAAATTACACCATATGCCCGCTCGTCATGATCATCACGGCTCTTAAAGAGAGCTTGGAAGACTTTTCGAAATCAAAGAGCAATAAGCTAGTCAACACGGCCAAGGGTATAGTAATTAAACAATAATTTAATATAAACCATATTGTCATGTATCTTGACTTTTGTAGGCTTTGTTTTGGTTTCAATTATCAAGAGATATTTTATTAACGTCTTACCTTATTTAAGAAAACTATAATTTGTATGGCTGCCACATCCACTTGATCAAAGTCTATCAACCACCAAGCACTAGATTAGTAATTTATATAAAAAACACACAAAAAGAAGAAGAAGAAAACTAAACTTCCTCTACCTAGGGCCTTGCTTACGTGTAAGACTTGAGAATCGCAGAGGAGAGCGCTCAAGATACCAAATCGCCCTTCTATGCGATTCTCATATTTTCATGTATCTTGACTTTTGTGGGCCTTGGTTTGGTTCCAATTATCAAGATATATTTTATTAACGTCTTACCTTATTTAAGAAATCTATAATTTGTATGGCTGCCACATCCACTTGATCAAAGTCTATCAACCACCAAGCACTAGATTAGTAATTTATATAAACACACACAAAAAGAAGAAGAAGAAAACTAAACTTCCTCAAGCTAGGGCCTTGCTTACGTATAAGACTTGAGAATCGCAGAGGAGAGCGCTCTAGGTACCAAATCGCCCTTCTATGCGATTCTCATACCTTATACTTAGGCAAAGCCTATCTTGGCGAATTTCTTACTACGTGTCCCATCTTAGCTACAAGGTGTGAGAATCGCAGAGGAAGGCGTTTTGGACTTGCGATATGAGGATCGCTTTGGAAATGGATCTTACCAAAATCTTCTACATACTCTAGCCCTCAGAGTTCTGAAATAAAATATATATCTTTTAATTAACCTTTACAAGCCAAAAATAATATTTTAAAATATTTGTTATGCCAATAAAATAAAATACTTGATATAATTTCCCTAAGAGTTAAGGTAGATATATATTTCAATTTTTTAATAACTGCCTTTCCCCCGAAAACTACTCAAAGTAAACAATCATATCCTAGAAAGTTTTCGCCGTACACCACGTTGACAAATGAAAAGTTTATCATTTATCATTAAATCAAGGCTAAAGAATACACAAACAGAATTTTTGATTAATTTTTTCAAAATTTTATAAGGGGTTACATCGTTAAAATTGTCAAAATTAAAAAAAAAATCAAAATATTTAAATTTAAAAACTTAGTATGCAGATTTGTAACCCCATTTAAAACTAGCACAGAAAAGTTATCCAAATTAAAATTAATGGCTTCTTGGCTTAGTTGTACTATTTGCAAAAACTTTGATTTGCCTCAAAAATTACCATATCAAAATATCGGTTTACTATACTTTGTAAATTATTTATTTTTTATACGCGATTTCCCAGGTTTTTCCTCCATATATATTTTTGTTGTCCTGTCGCTGAACTCGCTGAAAAGGTCAACTGTCTAACCCTGTGGCCTGTGGCATCAATCGTGAATCAAGCGTCAGGATCGACTCCTTTGGCCTCATTAAAGAGCTTGCCCTCGACACACACTCGAATACTCTCATATACGAACACGAAAAAAGGACGAAAACAACAAAAAGTAAAAAGGACGAGGCAAGGACTTGGGGGAGGAGAGAGCAGTCAGTAATGTGTAATTTATTGCTCTGCTCAAATTGAAACTAAGCGCCATTAAAAAACAATAAACTAAACATGTAATAAATTCAGACCGAACAAGCGCACACTTATGTACTCTTCCCCTCTCTCTCTCTCTCTCTCTCACACACACATCCTGATCCTGATCCTATATGTGTGTGTGTGGCATGTCTGTAACCAAAAAAACATATACAAACATACCTACACACATGTACATTTTGTACAACAAAAAAAGCAAAATAACTGCACAAAATAAATTGACCAAATCTGTTGGATAAAAGGATTTGAAAGCAATTAATTGCCAGCGCATAGAAAACATCAACACACATACTATACACACACACACACTTGCCTGCACACACAACAATTGCTGCAAAATCCACAGAACAAGAAAACAAAATAAGCAACAAATAGAAAACCAAATTGCAGTTGCCAAATTACCAAAAGAAACAGCGAAATCCAAATAGAAAAAAAATCAACAAAATGAAAAATCAGAAAGACAACCAAAAACATTTAGGCTTCAAATATTGGAAAATATTGGATATTCCCATTATAATATCATATAAAAATATTATAGGCTTAACATAAACCACAAATTCTGGATAGAATTTAAGTGTTAAATAGGAATAACCAAAAAAGATGTCTGGTCTTAATTTTCAGTCTCCGCCAATATGGCGAGGTGGCAAAGACATCTTTCCAGATAAAATGGATGAGTTCCAGTGAGCTTTACTAGATCTTCGAAGCTCACAATCCCATCGTTCTTCTCAAAATTTGGATTCTAATGGAGAAAAGCATAGGATTTTTATTAATTAAATGCAATCGAAGGCATTTAAATATAATTAATCTCACATCATTGATATATAGATTATCATCAAAATCAGAGAAAACATCTTTTTCATCATCATCACTCTCATTAGTGAGTTCCTTGTCTTCAAAGTCAATGTTTTCTTTGTTTTCAATAATTTTTAATTGTTTTTTAACCTTCTCCTTGTGATATTTCTGCATGGCCTGATCTCTCTTCTCCTCGAAAGCGACTATATCTTGCATATCCTGCACAGTCCAGTGTTCATCTATGTCCTCATCTTCTAATAATAACTCTTCCTTCTGCTGTTGGTAATAGCAAAGGCCACGTGCCAGGACAGGGATAGTTCTTTTAAGAACTTCCGGACGAATCTTGGTAATATTAACCAACTCGTCGAAGGTCAGTAGCTTCTCGTTCTCCAACTCACGCATAATGCGCTCGTAATGTTTCTGCAGTGTTTTATCATCCATTTTATTGAGAATTATTTTAAAAGTCAAAAATTATTATTAAAAGTTTCTGTTATTTTTTTTGTAATTTGAATGAAATAAAATTGGAAAAAATTTTTCTCGGTATTGATGTTTTTGATACGACAGCTGGAGCTACACTGAAGTAATGAGAGTTCAACATGTGAAAGCCCCACAGATTGAATAACAGAAAAGTCAAGGATAGTTAAGATCTTCGAAGTTATTTTAAAAATACATTAGTTTTAGAACCTTTTTAACCCTGTTCATCTAGTGTTATAATTATAATAATTATTTTATGGCCAGTCGCTATTATCAGGATTAGTTTAAAATGTTTTCTTTAGCCTTTAAAATATTTTGTAAATATTTCAAAATGAGTTCGTAATATTTCAACATTTTCTTAATAATTTAAAATGTTTACTACAGATTTCAAAAACTTTTAAATGCTTACAAAATATTTTAAATTGTTTTGTAAATTCTATTTTAAATATTTTAAAATGTTTTCGGTTTATTTAACATATTTTAGAATATTTTACCAATATAAATTGTTTAAGACCATTCTTCAGTTGCTTTTACAACAGCACAGAATAGAAAATACGTAATTTTAATTAAACTAAAATTCAAATTTTTGAGTGTATTAAATTTAATAAAATAATAAAATTGATAAAGAGTTTGCAGAAGTAAAAAGGAAGGCTTAAGTTGATCTGGTGATCTTTTTGTGGCCACGGTGAGTGTGTTGAAGTGGTTTCTTGTAGTTGAGCAAACGCCACTTGGTGGATCGTTTACGGCCGATCACCTTGAGAATTCTGTTCAGTTCTTGTTCTGTGAGCCCAGTGCCCTCCTTTAGAGCCTCCATGCGCTGGAACTTGAATCTCTGATAGGTTTTTATTACCTTCCTATATTCATCTTTCATCTCCAACTGAGAGTAGCTCCCGTTAATATTATTATCTCTTAATACTAATATTTAAAAACCACTCACCGGTTTGATTTCGCTGGTCATTGCCTGGTCGATCTTCTGCGAATCTACGGCAAATAAATAAAACTTGCTGATGCGCCACTTCCGGCGCTTGATTTTTCCGATCCGCTTAAGGGCCTTGCGAACGCTCTTTTTCGATAGTTTTGTTCGCTCCATCAGATCCCGCAGTGTCCTATATTTGCGACCATCGAATGCATTTCGAACGAGACTGTCCCGAGAAGAGTCCTAAGGATGAAAAATGTTATTTGAAAGCATTTATATAATTTAAAATACGAATAATATGGTAGAAATTACATGTTCTTGGGGGTCTCATCAATCTCTATTTTATTCCCCATGGACAGCTCAATCTCTTCACAATTTTTCGTCTGCAAATTAAAGGATTAGAAGTCTTAAAGAAAAATTAAATAAAAATTACTTACATTTAAATTATTGTCAGGCAGTTTTGCCGAATTTATTGTATCTTTCATTACCTCGTCCACTTCCTACAAATTATAAAGTTATAACATCATTATATAGACCTAAGTAGGAAGCACATACATCTACTTCCATATCTTCTGATTTCTGATTTCTGATTTTAATTTCATTTAAGTCATTGTCAAGCAGTTTCACTAAATTTATTGCATCTTTCATTGGATCGTCCACTTCCTACAAATTATAAATATATTATCATTATCGGGACTTAAGTAGTAATCACTTACTTCTACTTCCATAGCTTCGGATTTCTGATTCTGATTTTTGCTTTTACTTACATTCAAGTCATTTTCAGGCAGTTTTCGTAAATTTATTATATCTTTCATTGGCTCGTCCACTTTCTACAAATTATAAAGTTATAATATAATTATTTAGATTATTATTATATTATATACTTATAATATAATTATATAGACTTAAGAAGTAGTACTTACTCTAACTCCAATATCTTTTGATTTCGGATTCTGATTTCTGATTTTGATTACATGCAGTTTTGGTAAATTTATTGTAGCTTTTATTGGCTCGTCCACTTTCTACAAATTATATAGTTATAAAATAATTATATAGACTAAAGCAGTATGTACTTACTTTAACTTCCATATCTTTTGATTTCTGATTCTGATTTCTGATTCTGCTTACATGCCATATTGGTGAATTTATTGTAGCTTTCATTGGCTCGTCTACTTTCTACAAATTATAAAGTTATAATATCCTTATCGAGACTTAAGCAGTAACTACTTACTTTGACTTCCATATCTTTTGATTTCGGACTCTGATTTCTGATTTTGCTTACATGCCATATTGGTGAATTTATTGTATCTTTCATTGGCTCGTCTATTTTCTAGAAAATATAAAGTTATAGTATCATTATCGAGACTTAGGCAGTAAGTACTTACTTTGACTTCCATATCTTTTGATTTCTGACTCTGATTTCTGATTTTGATTAAATGCACTTTTGGTAAATTTATTGTATCCTTCATCGGCTCGACTTTTTTCTAGAAATTTTAAAGTTATAACATAATTATATAGACTTAAGTAGTAAGCACTTACTTCTGCTTCCATATCTTTTGATTTCTGATTTCTGATTTTGCTTACATGCCATATTGGTGAATTCATTATAGCTTTCATCGGCTCGTCTACTTTCTACAAATTATAAAGTTATAATATCCTTATCGAGACTTAAGCAGTAAGTACTTACTTTGACTTCCATATCTTTTGATTTCGGACTCTGATTTCTGATTTTGCTTACATGCCAAATTGGTGAATTTATTGTATCTTTCATTGGCTCGTCTACTTTCTAGAAATTATAAAGTTATAGTATCATTATCGAGACTTAGGTAGTAAGTACTTACTTTGACTTCCATATCCTTTGATTTCTGATTCTGATTTCTGATTTTGATTAACTGCAGTTTTGGTAAATTTATTGTATCCTTCATGGGCTCGTCTTTTTTCTAGAAATTATAAAGTTATAACATAATTATATACACTTAAGTAGTAAACAGTTACTTCTGCTTCCATATCTTTTGATTTCTGATTTCTGATTTTGCTTACATGCCATATTGGTGAATTTATTGTGGCTTTCATTGGCTCGTCTACTTTCTAGAAATTATAAAGGTTTAACACATCATTATTGAGACTTAAGCAGTAAAAACTTACTTTAACTTCCATATCTTTTGATTTCTGATTCTGATTTCTGATTTTAACTAAATGCAGTTTTGGTAAATTTATTGTATCCTTAATTGGCACGTCTATTTTCTAGAAATTATAAAGTGAAAACATTATTTTATAGACTTAAGTCGTAAGCACTTACTTCTGCTTCCATATCTTTTGATTTCTGATTTCTGATTTTGCTTACATGCCATATTGGTGAACTTATTGTAGCTTTCATTGGCTCGTCTACTTTCTACAAATTATATAGTCACAATATAATTATATAGACTTAAGCAGTAAGAACTTACTTTGACTTCCATATCCATTGATTTCTGATTCTGATTTCTTATTTTGCTTACATTCAGTTTTGGTGAATTTATAGTAGCAATCATTGGCTCGTTTATTTTCTAGAAAATATAAAGTTAAAACATAATTCAAGAGACTTGATTAGTAAACACTTACTTCTGCTTCCATATCTTTTGATTTCTGATTTCTGATTTTGCCTACATGCCATATTGGTGAACTTATTGTAGCTTTCATTGGCTCGTCTACTTTCTACAAATTATAAAGTTATAATATCATTATCGAGACTTAAGCAGTAAGAACTTACTTTGACTTCCATATCCTTTAATTTCTGATTCTGATTTCTGATTTTGCTTACATTCAGTTTTGGTGAATTTATAGTAGCTATCATTGGCTCGTTTATTTTCTAGAAAATATAAAGTTAAAACATAATTCAAGAGACTTGATTAGTAAACACCTACTCCTGCTTCCATATCTTTTGATTTCTGATTTCTGATTTTGCCTGCATGCCATATTGGTGAATTTATTGTAGCTTTTATTGGCTCGTCAACTTTCTGCAAATTATATAGTCATAATATAATTATATAGACTTAAGCAGTAAGAACTTACTTTGACTTCCATATCCATTGATTTCTGATTCTGATTTCTTATTTTGCTTACATTCAGTTTTGGTGAATTTATAGTAGCTATCATTGGCTCGTTTATTTCTAGAAAATATAAAGTTAAAACATAATTAAAGAGACTTAATTAGTAAACACCTACTCCTGCTTCCATATCTTTTGATTTCTGATTTCTGATTTTGCCTGCATGCCATATTGGTGAATTTATTGTAGCTTTTATTGGCTCGTCAACTTTCTGCAAATTATATAGTCATAATATAATTATATAGACTTAAGCAGTAAGAACTTACTTTGACTTCCATATCCTTTGATTTCTGATTCTGATTCCTGATTTTGCTTACATGCAGTTTTGGTGAATTTATCGTAGCTATTATTGGCTCGTTTATTTTCTAGAAAATATAAAGTTAAAACATAATTAAAGAGACTTGATTAGTAAACACTTACTCCTGCTTCCATATCTTTTGATTTCTGATTTCTGATTTTGCCTGCATGCCATATTGGTGAATTTATTGTAGCTTTTATTGGCTTGTCGACGTTCTGCAAATTATAGAGTTGTAACATAATTTTATACACTATAGTAGTAAGCACTTACTTCTCCTTTCAAAGCTTCTGATTTCTTATCAGATTTAAGCACAGGACGAATCTAAAGATGTTTAAAATTTATTCTCATTTATTAATGTTTGCAAAACATAGCTCACTCACATCATCTTCTCCTCCTGAGGAATCTGTCATAAACTCATCCTTCTTATTATGCTCCTTTAGGGAATTTAAAATATTCTTTTCCACTTCACAACCTTTGTGTTCTTTTTCTGAGTCAATTTTATTAACCGCAGATGTCTGAAAATATGTTTAATAATATCTTATTAACTTTATCTATTTAAATTTTTGCCTTAATATGTATCGAAAAACTGGTTTTGATCATTAACTTAATACAAAAAATAGCTAACTCACCTTTTCATCCAAATCTGGTAGGGATTTCAGTGTCTCTGAGTGATTTGTAGTATCCTTATTCTCTTTGCACTATGCATATGTATCATAAAACAGGTTGTGATCATTAATTAAATACAAACAAATAGCTTACTCACCTTTTTATCCAAACCTGGTAGGGGTTTCAGTGCCTCTGAGTCATTTGAAGTAACCTTATTCTCTTTGGACTTTTCCGACTATTGAAACATAATACGTAGAGTATTAATGAATAGATTATTATAAAAACTTACATTTTCTTTCATTTCTTTCTCTTTTAATTTTGCCTTTTGGTAAGCCAGAAATTGTTGCTAAAGAATATATCAAATATATAAAGGAATTATGAATGGAGAAAAGTGTTATTATTATTTCAATTAGGACCACTCACAAAAAGTACTTGACCCGATGGAACTGGAACTTCTTCAACGGGGGAGTATAAGAATTCATAATTTTGTCTACTGCCTTGACAGTCAGTTTTGTATTGCGTGTAACTTTCTAAAAAAAAAAATAAATAATGGTATTTATACGGGTGTCATCATATTCCAAAGTAAGATTACTTACTTTTCTCTGAAAAACAGAAGCAGGAACGTAGCACATAATTTTTTCTTGAGGTGCAGCAGGAACTGCTTTGGGTACCTCAACCTTTGGGGTATCAATATGGCTTCCGCCATCTTTATCGTCTTAACTTTTCTTTTCCTAGGACACTTCTCAGGGCTTGATTTTATGGAGCTCTTGGAGCTCTTCGGTGATGCCGGTGGTTTGCGATTACTTTTGGCCTCAACAGCTTCCTTTTTACTTGTCAATTTCAAATGTTTATCGATTAAGTCTGGTAGATCCTTGTTCTTTACATTTGATGATGAATCCGATTTCGTGGATTTCTTATTCTGAGCCCTAATGCGCTTGCAAGCTTTGGAAGGCTGAGAGGATTCTGAAGTATCAGAGTGAGATGAGTCATCCGAGTTATCGGAGGCATCCGAAGCAAATAAGCCCATAGCCAACGAGGCCTTCAAACCGAATGGATCGTCAGGATTCTCAGCTTCATCGAAATTCCCGGAGTCTTCGGTGTTCTGGGAATCGCTTACCTCTTCGTCAAAGTTGACATCCTTGAAATACTCCGCATAATCGTCATCTTTGAGAACCTCGCCTTCTTTCGCGACATTCTTGACATTTTTGGCATCCCTGGCTTTGTTGTCAGGGGACTTGACCTTTTCGACTTTATTCTTGATCCCAGGTTTCTGCTTGGCGCCTCTAGCATTTTTAGGTTCTGCCACATTCTTGACATTCCTGGCAGAGCGAGCACCTTTGGCATCCTTTTGCAATTCGAGAGCCTTGTCTTCCTCCGTGGGCTTGACTTTCTTGACATACTTGCCCCTTTGGGTGACCCCAAATTTTTTGGGATTGCCAGGGTTATCCTTAGCACTCCCAGCATCCTTGATATCCGCGATAGGCTTGACATTCCTGCCAACACTTGCAGTACAGGCATCTTTGTCGAAACTGATAACACTGTTTTCCTCCATAAACCTAACTTTCTTAACATTGGTTTTCTTCGAGGAACCACATTTTTTGAGTATGCCAGGGATACCCTTGGTGCCGCTATCATCCATGATAACCGTGAAGTCCATGGATTGGTTGTCATTGCTTGCAATCATGGTATTCTTGCCTTCCACGACTTTTGGTACATTCGAGGTATTCGACTTATTCAAAGTATCAGAAACATCCGAGGTATCCGAAGAATCCGAAGTATATGATGTATCCAAGGTTTTCGAAGTATGGGAAGTATTCGAAGAAGACGAGACGGATACGGACGATGTGGGAGATGATGGCAATGATGACGAGGATGAAGATGATGACGATGAGGACGAGGATGAAGATGATGACGATGAGGACGAGGATGAAGATGATGATGTCGATGAGGGCGGTGATGAGGTCGTGGGCGACAAGGACGGCGAACGGTTTGGTGACTTTGGCCTATCCTGGAGACGTGTAATGGCACCACTGAAAAACTGTAAAATATATTAAATTAATATATATCCAATGCATATATAACGCAAGGTAGTACTGGAGTCAGTAGAGGAATCGGGCGACCGTGCCATTTGGATCTTTGCATACGATTCCTCGGTGCGAAGGGATAACTCAGGTATTTATTACGAGTTACAGGTGGAACAAATGGGGGTTTAATTGAAGCAGCTTTTTTCTTGACTTCGACATTCTTTCCCTGAATTGAAGGAATTGGAGCTTTGGACTTGGGAGTCTCTTTCTTGACCCAACAGCGTCGCATCAAGGTGTATACCTTGGCAATAGAGGAAGTTTTGACACATTTGGCCCGGATCACTTTCCGTGTTATTAGAATTGTGGGTGGTGGTGGTAGAGGTGGCGGTGGTGGTGGTGGTGGTGGTGGTGGTGGTGGCGGTAAAAAGGAAATGGAGGAATATTGTTCTGGTTTTTCTGGTGATAGTGACATAAATGTAATGGAAGGCAATGGTTTTGTTGGTGGTGTGTCCTGTATTGGAGAAATAAATTTAATAGGACGGAAGGATTTTCTTGGTGGAGTGTCCCTTATTGGAGAAATAAATGAACTAGAGGGCAATAGTGATGATTTTGTTGGTGATGGTGAAACATATGTAATGGAGGGCAATGGTTTTGTTGGTGGTGTGTCCTGTATTGGAGAAATAAATTTAATGGGAGTCAATAGTTTTTTTTGTGGTGTCTCCTTTATTGGAGAAATAAGTGAAGTAGATGGCAATGGTGTTGGTTTCGTTAGTGATACTGGCATACATGTAATGGAGGGCACTAGTTTTGTTGGTGGGGTGTCCTTTAATGGAGAAATAAATAAAGTAGAGGACAATGGAGTTCGTCTTGTTGGTGAAGATGACAAGCATGTGATGGATGGCAATCGGTTTGTTTGTGGTGTTAGTTTTGTTGGTTTTGTTTGTTTTATTTTAGTTGGTGCTGTTGATGTTGGGGATGTGCCCCTTATTGGTGATATAAATTTAATAGGAGTCAATGGTTTTTTTGGTGTACTGTCCCTCACTGGTGACAATGGTTCTGTTGGTGTTGTATCCTTTATTGGTGAAATAGGTGTAAGGGAGGGCAATGGTTTTGGTTTTGGTTTTGCTGGTGATGGCGATAAATATTCAATGGAAGGCAGCGGTGTTGTTTGTTTTGTTGGTGTTTCTTTAGATGTTGTTGTCGATGTTGGGGATGTATCTCTTATTGGTGATATATTTATAATAGGAGTCAATGGTTTTGTTGGGGATGTATCCCTAATTGGTGTCATAATTTTAATGTTAGACAATGGTTTTGTAGATGTACTGTCCCTCACAGGTGACATACATGTAGTGGGGGGCAATGGTTTTGATGGTGATGTGTTCTGTATTGGAAAAACATTTGAAGTGAAGGGCAATAGTTTTGGTTTTGATGGTGATAAATATTCAATGGAGGGTAGCGGTGCTGTTTGTTTTAGTGGCGTTTCTTTAGATGGTGTTGTGGATGTTGAGGATGTATCTGTTATTGATGATATATTTGTAATAGAAGTCAATGGTTTTGTTGGGGATGTATCCCTAATTGGTGTTGTAATTTTAATGGGAGGCAATGGTTTTGCTGATGTACTGTCCCTCACTGGTGAGATACAAGTAATGGAGGGCAATAGTTTTGTTGGTGTTGTGTCTTTATTTGGAGAAAGAAATGAAGTAGAGAGCAATGATATTTGGTTTTTTAGTGTTGGTAATAAATCTGTAATAGAAGGCAGCGGTATTGTTGGTGTTGTTAAGTTTGTCGATGTTTCTTTAGATGGTGTTGTTGATATTGGGGATGTATCCCTTATTGGTGACATTAATTTAACGGGTAGCAATGATTTTGTTGGTGTTGTGTCCCTCATTGGTGATACACATTTAATGGGAGTCAAAGATTTTGTTGGTGTTGTGTCCCTCAGTGGTGATGTAATCGAAGGAAGTGGTGTGTTTGGTTTCAGTTTTTTGGTGTTGGTTTTTTGTGTTTTACTGGTGACATAAGTATAGTGGCGGGAATGTTCTTTAGATTCGCTAAATTCCGGATTCTCAGTCTCTTTTCCGTTTTCTTCTTGGTTATTAAATAACCATGCTTGTTATTGGCTTTCTTCTGGTTTTGCTTTTTCGTTTCCCTTTTCCCCTTGGCTACTGTCTCTAGAGCATTATTTAAAATACTTAGAGCTTCGCATTCTGTTGACTCTCGAACTGAATCATCGATTGACTTGGTAGTATTAGTAATAGGCTCGGATTCTTCATTTGAGGAGGTCTCTTGTTTGTTTAGATTTTGAAAATTCTGCTAAGAAACAAAGAATATTTTATAAACATTTATGTCAGATTTATCTAGATTACAATTGATCATTTAAATAGATTTTAATTCCGAAAAAGAAAAATATGAGCAGAATACAAACTCACAAGTTTATGAGATGCGGCCTTAGGTGTTGACGGCATAAAGTCCAATGGAGTTAACTGGTAAAAAAAATAAATTTAAATGCTTGTAAAAAATGTAAAAAATTTTTCCAAATACCCAAAAGGTATACATAAAAATCAAGCTTTATCATAATTAACACTTATGTTATTTGAGTATACCAAAATAATTGTTTGCAATAATAACCAATTAACTGCGCGCCTAAAAGTTAATATAACTTGTAAGGTGATTTCGCTTACGCTTAAATCCACTTTGGCTTTAGCGGATTCCACAGTACTTCTCACAGTAGTCTGCAGCTTTTTGCTCTTTAAAATTTCCATTTCCTTTTCAATTTCAACTTCAATATCTGTATTTGAGGGATCTATGGGCAGTAACTCCGGCTAAGACAATAAATCGGTTATTTAGCAATAGGAGAACAGTGCAGGACTCACCTTAGGACGATCATAGGTTTCTTTGTAAACATCAATATGGTCTGCATGGTCAGTAATGAAACTAAACAGGATGGAATCCATCGAGGCAATCACAGAATGTTTTGACCGCCGCTTCCGAAGTATTTAATATCTATTTTCAATTTATTTTATGTTTAGGTAAATTTTATTTTTGTTTTTTCGATCTCAAATGCAAAGGTTACTGTGCAGTTTAACTGCAGGGCAAAAATAAATATGTATGTTTTCAAAACAAATAAATAGAAGTAAATAATTAATAGAAATAAATAAATAATAAGTCTAAATTGAATGCTAAATTATTGAAAAAGAGTACGACTTGCTCTCAAAACTCACCTGAGGCTGGGATGTATATTAATAATAAGAATAAACGGCTTTCGTGAATAACACGACCAAACATTGGCCAAAACTCGCGCGTGATCCGTATGTTCTTCTCTTCACTTGGCTTTCGTTGAACACAATCCATTTAAATAAAGTCGGCTTTCACACGCTTTATAATACCATTTTTTACAAATAGATTATGCACTCACAAAACTCCGACAATGAATGAAATTATTTTGTGTTTTATTTTATTTGACACTTCCTAGGTAGGGCACTTTCAAGCCTTTTTGGAAATACCTTGCCGATAATTATGCGATAGTTTCTATGGTAATTTCTATGATTGCCACCATAAAACTTGAATGTTATCTCTGCCATCTTAATTTGTATAATACAAATTGGTAAAGTGTTTTTTGTTTAGTTTATTATTTATATTATATAAAAATATATACTTGAATTAATTTGTATAAAAGATACCATAAATATATATTTTTTTATTTCCATGGCATTTAGTTTAAATAAATTATTAAGAGTTAATATAGTTTAAAGCTTATTATAAGCAGTTTCTTTATCGAAATGCTGAAACCTATAGAAAGAGCTGAGCCTAAATGCCTGTGTTTGTTAATACCAATTCGATTTTGGATAAATAATGCACTAAGGTTAATCTATATGCGTTGCATTATTTCGATCGGCAGACGCTGCAGGATCTTGGCTGGCCCTTGCCTTCATACGCACCGTTGCACATTGGCATTTGTTTGTTCCTTGTCCTGGGTCCTTGGCGCCGCTCTCCTTGTGTTGCCTTAGCAGCTCTTGTGGTTTATTATAACTGCATATATCATGCAAATATTCTCGGAGCAGGGAACAAGGCCAACCGAAAATCCACAACACAAACACAAACATAGTGAGGTCCTTGTATCAGAGAATGTTTGGTTTTTGGGGGTGCGGCTGTTGCTGCTCTTACTCGCCTGGCTGATGTCCCTGCTCCTGCTCCTGCTCCTGCTCCTGCTCCCGCTCCTGTTTCCTGCTCCTGCTGCCCTTTTTTGAGGGCTGCAAAACTGCAAAACTGAGGGAGGGAGAAAACTGCAGGCGGCAGTGACAGGTCCTTGCCCAAATTCGGTTTTTGCATGCTTAGCTCACCCGACTTTGCCTTCTTTTCTCCAGCTCGTTTACGTTTACGTTCACATTTACGAGAATTATTTTATAAATTTTCATAGTTTTCACTTTGATTAAAAGTGCGGTCATGGCTTCTGTGGCCAGGATTTGTTGCTGCTGACCAGCAGGAACAGCAGCTCCATTACCATACGCCAAAAGGGAAAATGGAAAATGGAATGCCAGGCCACAAAAGTGCACGCAACGGAAATCTAGTCAAGTCCCTGCGACAGCGTCTTAAGCCAAATATATAATATATATCCTTTGCCAATGCATCATCCTCATCCTTAGCTGAAGCAGATAAAATTCCCAACTGAACTGAAGCATATGCTTGGCACGATTCAAAGTGGCTTGTGTAAATATTTTTGTTGGAATTATTATGAGATCAAGGGCTCTGGTCGGTTTGGAAATTAAGTCAGGTAAAAATCGAAGCGAAAGCATGTGGAATTTAAATTGCATTGAGTAAGATAACCTATCGCTCAGTGTAGTGTCCTTGGATTAGCCAACAAGAAGTAGGTATTCATTGCATTATTGGCATTAATTGCTCAGCCAGCAAAAACCGCACTTTCCAATCTCCTTGGTAAGTATTTCATTTTTGTTTCAATATTTGACAAATGCATTTATAATTGCATGCCGCAGATCTGGCATTCGAAATTCCATCGTCATCGTCATCGTCATCTAAACAATGTGTAATTGGTAATTTATGGTAAATACATATGTATATGTTTATATGGTATATATTTATTCTTGTTGTTGTTGCTGCTGACCCCAAGACTTATTTCGAAGCTGTGCATTGCCATGTCTTGAGGTTGCTCTAAAATTATCAATTATTATTGAAACTTATGTTGTTTTGCGAAAATGTAACCCACACATACAATGGATACTTATTGTTAGACATTAAAGCATTATCAAAAGGTTCTTGAACAGTAAGTATCTAAGATCAGTAATTAACTAAGATCAGTAAGTAACAATGAGCAGTAAGTAACTCTGGACAGTAAGTATCTATAATCAGTAAGTAACTCTGATCAGGAAGTATCAATGTACTTTGATTAACTCTGAACAAAGAGTATTTATGATCATTAATTAACTATGATCAGTAAGTATCTATGACCAGTAAGTATTAATTGACGTTAAGTAACAATGATCAGTAATTAACTATGATCAGTAAGTAACAATGATCAGTAAGTAACTCTGATCAGCAAGTAACTCTGATCAGTAAGTAAGTATATATGATCAGTGACTAACTTTGAACACTAATAAACAATGACTTGCAACTTTTGTAACACAACACTTTTCTAAGACTTGGCCGGCAGAAGTCACTTCGTTCCGGGGATGTGAGAACCAGTTGAGAATCATATGCACAGATGCGAGAGATTTGCTTCGGAACAAATTTAAGCTATTTTAATGAAACTATGGAGTTATTCTTCTATATAATTTAACTAAGATATAAATCGGACCATGGCGAATCGGTGGACTATATATATACATATGTATATATATTTGCAATAGGAACGATCGGAAAATGTACGAAAAAAAACGTATAACTTTACTAGTTTTCTACAGATTTTCATCAAATTTAATATATAGCCATTATATATTATTGTTTTAAGGTATTTTTTAGGGCAAAAATGAATATAAAAATAATAAATAATATAATATATAATATTCAGTTTATGATTTATTAAATTTCAATTCATATTTCTAGTTTAATGAATAAATTACAAATTAATTGCATATAATCCCTTCTCTACTTTGTGATTAGCCTAGCTTTTCAGCTTGGTGGCAACCATAAATATATAAATACATATATATATTTTTTTTTAATTGCCAGAACTTGTCATTTGCCGTCGTCTGCCATTTAATTTCACTAATTAATTTGTTTTTCCCCAAAAAAAAAACACACACAGAGAGTCGCGGAAAAGGGGCAAGGGAAAGACACGCGGCAGATGCCGCAAAAGCCAAAAACAACAATTAAACATAAATCTTATAAATTTCCGTAGCCAAAACTTCCTGCCAAGGCTTTTTGTCTCTCTCCTCCTCCTCCGACGTCGTCGTCGTCGTCTCCTTTCTCCATGGATGAGATTTCTCGCCGTGCCACCGAACATATTTCATTTCGGCTGCAACTTTACCAAGGGACACGCCCACCACGCATGGACCCCGCCCACTTTTCCCCCGGTTTTTCCAGAGCTGAAGGAAAAAAACTTTTGCCCCAAAAATGTAGAAGAAGACGTGTGGAAGCGGCAGCAGCAGCAGCAGCGCATTGTTTGTTGTCTAACAGTCTATGACTATTTAAGACAACCCCCAGAATCGCACATACACACATGCAGGAATACAGTTGAGGGGATATAAATAGTAATTAAAAAAATAAATAATTAAATAAAATAACCCATACTTTTTAAGGAAATTCTTTTTCAGTATGCCCAGAGTGTAAACAAGGCACTAGTGTAACCATATTGTTATGTTTTGGCTTAGAGTTGTCACTTTGGAGTTGAATATTTATATTATTAGGGTAACATTTAGAAATAAAGTAATATGTTAATACTTAGTAAAGAATAAAAACTATATGGCCTTAAAAAATTAAGGATTTTAAAGAAAAGAAAAGTTTTAATAATAAGCAATTAAATCAAGTGACAATAAAATGTAATAAATTAAACATTTATCTTTGTTTTTATAAAATCTATACAAGTAAGCCGTTTAATATTATTTATTTAATAGATTATTATTATGTAACCGATTAATAATTATAAATTAATAAAAATATATGTTTTATATTTTTAGAAACCTTTAAATATATTTATAATTATTTTCAAACTTTTATCTTTGTGTATAGAAAAACAATTAGGTGAGCCCTGTTTAATGTTATTTAATTAAAAGATTACATGAAACTTAGTGCTGGCATAACCGATTATTAATTATAATTTAATTAAAATATATTTCTTATATTAAAAGAAAACTTTAATTATATTTCTAATAATTTTTAGAGACCTCCTAACTCAACCCCAGTTGTAAATCCACTTAGACACACGTCCACCAGACCTACATACATGTAATTTAATTTTACTATTTTAGTTTCACTGCCGTTGGTTTTCAGTTTACAGTTTCTACATTGTTGGTGGAAAAGTGCAACAAGGCTACACACACGCACACACACACACAAGCAGCAGACAGGCACACATCGAAGGACCACAGAAAACATTTGTTACAATTTCCCACGTAAATACTTCCTGCCAAGAAGCGCTCACCGCACACGCACATATGCAAAAGCACAATTATAATTGTCATAACACAAAAGCAGCTGAAAATTTAGTGCCAAGTGCGAAAAGTTCCACCAAACTGGATGGAATGGTAACGCAGGGAAAATGTGAGGGAAAACTGAGGGAAAACTGGAGAGATGTGCCAGGGGAAAAGTGCCAGGAGAAATGTTGTACTCCTAACCAGAGTCGAGGGTGGTCAAATGGGTTTGGAAAATGGTAGAAATATATGTGAAATATTTTTTAAAAATTTTATAAGGATCTAAGGATAATAAATTTAAAAAAATTTTATTTATATTAAGGAAAATGTTATGTAAATTGATATTTAAATCAAAAGAGGGCCCGTTTACTTCCTCCTGATCAGATGGGTTTGAAAAATGATAGAAGTATATTAAAAAATATTTTTTTAACATTTTATAAAGCTTTAATAATAATATATTATAAAAATATTTATTTATACTAAAGAAAAATGTTTATAAATTCATTTTAAATAAATTATAATTTATTTATTTGATTTACTTTCTTCTCTTTTTATTTGCTTAATATCTTCTCTAGTGTAGAGGCTTGTTACCTTTGTTCCCACCATAATATATATATCTTTTAATCAGATTTTCCCATATTTTCCTAACGACACTCGCTCATGCATTTTCTATCCCTTTTTTCCACAGCCTCTCTCTCTCTCTCTCTCTCTCTCTCTCTTTCTATCCCTTTCTCCCTGCGAGTGACACGCTGATAAATGACATTTGCGGCGTCAATGTGAATTTTATAAATTCTCGCAACTTTCACGCCCGCTGCGAGCTGCTGCTACAACTACTACTACTTCTTCGGTTTTTGGCAGAAAGGGCTTTTCCCGGAAAATCGTTGGAAAAACTGGCCAAAACAAAGCGCTGACGCCAGCAAAGGCAGACACAAAAAAGGAGAGGGGGAAATGCGAGTGGGAAGTTGGGTAATTTTTGAGGGGAGAGAGAGCGAAGGCAGATCGTCGCCTTGGTAGTTGCATATTTTTTATGACACTTTTGCGGCTTATCAACGTCATGGCAAACACATGCACTTGAGCCCATCCACGTTACTTTTGCCACTAACCAATTTCACACCACTCCCCCCCTCTCAGCCCGGTTTTTCCTACCAACTTTCCACACCCCCCCCCCCCCCCCCCCCCCCCAGCTTGTCGCATTATTTACATTGTCAACAAGCTGTCGCTGGGTTTTTCACAGCTCCTGCCTGCCGCCGTTCTTCATTTTCATTATGCTGTTTTTCGCCAGGCTGTTGATTTTCCCCCACCCCCCTTTGATTCCCATTTTTTCTTTTTGTTTTTAATTTTTCCTACCACCAGTGAAAGTTTAATTACTATGGCCGAAATCTGACAGAGTCATGCTGTATGCCGCAGAAAAGTTTTCCCTTTTTTTTTTGTCGTCAAGAAATCAGCTTAAAAGCGGCAGCAACAGGTTGTGATCGCTTGGGAAATCTTTGGGAAAAGCTCTGTGGAAAACTTCAGGGTGAGTATGGGAAAATCTGGGTTATGGGATATGGTTTAAGAGATTCAGAAAATATAAAAACTTAAACTGCATTTAGCAATTTAACAGATATAAATAACATGGCAGCTGTAAAGTGTCAATACGACCTATAAAAATTAAGCTAAAGACCTGGAAAACCTTAAAAATGCTAAAAAATCTATGTCATCCCCAAACTCCTTAACAAATCGGCTTAGTTCAGTGCATAAAACTTGGCCAGAAACTTAAACTGGGAAGCCCCAGAGCTCAACTCGAGCGAACTGAACTTGAGTCCTGGGCGTTACCGGGTCCAGAGATAAAGTCAAATACTTGACAAGTCACAGGTAACAAGTACGAACTTATGAAGCCATCAAGTGTGTCGCTCTGGGTGTGTGTACAAGTGGGTGTGCAAGTGTGTGTGCCAGTGTGTGTGCCAGTATGTGCTTTTGCCAGAGTGCTGCAAAGTTTTCAAATTATTTTTGGTTACATAATTGGAATTGATAACTTTGGCAGAGACTCATTCGGTACATGCACACTGATACACTTGGCACACCTACAACCCACGCACACACACACACACATACACACAGCCTGACTGCACTTGTATTTGTCAATAACAAGCAATTTAACAATTTTCCCACACACACGCAGAAAAAGCGAAAAACTCTTGTAAAGTTATCATTCAAACTTGAAAATCAATAAAACTTTTGATACAACTGCGGGAACAGTGATGGCAAATATGAAATAGAAATCGAAATTGTGTTTTTCAAAAAATGTATAAAAAAAAGACAGATGCTTTTGGTATACCCAAAAATATATCTGTAAAAGTTTTTATAAGATTAATAAATCCAAACATTGATCTGGGGAAATTTAAAACAAATTTAACCTTCTAAAAATGGTTGATAAAAACTTTTAAAACCCAGGTCTTTAATTCTAATATATATTCTGGCTATAATTTGTACCAAGTGACAACACCTTACACCGGGATAAAAATA